TATTTCATTTCATTGCAATAATTATAATCCCCTCCATGCATCATCATTCAACAGTATTTGCTTCTATTTCCTCTGTTTTTTCTTTCTTTCTTTTGATGTAAATAAAAACATTCAGGAATGTATAATAATTTAAACAATCAAAGGGCACATTCTTCAAACCTGCCTCCTGGTTGCCCGCACACAGCCTTTCTCTTCCCATGAGTCTAGAGTCTCTGCCTTTATCTCTGGTGTCACTCTCTGGTTAGGGTCCCACATTCTGCTCATGCTCTTCTCCCTTGATGGTCTGAGGAATGACTGGTAAGCTTGAACCACTGAATTATGGGTCAAAATGACTTTGCAGTCCTACGCATTAACCCACAGTGCCACACCAGGGCTTCTAGAAACCCTGTATAGGCTCACTGTCATTTGACTTGATGGTGTGTAATCATTAGGAACAAGGAAGTGATGATAAGGTTCAATATATCAATCCCTCAGAATTATAGAATGGCCCAATCTTCCTCATATAATTCAAAGGTCCCATTTCAGCATGACAAACTGAAGACACCAGTGTCAGCTGCTTCCATATGTTGTTGTTAAGTGCTGCTGAGTCGATGTCGGCCCATAGCAACTCTGTATAGGGTTTCCAAAGGAGAAGCTGGAGAGCTTGAACCACAGACCTTGCAGTTCAGACAACTTTGCAGTTTGACGCATTAGCCCACAGTGCCATACCAGGACTCCATATGTGGGGAACAATAAATAAATAGAAATTTCTAATGTGTGGTGGTCTGGTGTGGCACTGTAGGATAAGTAGTAGTCAGTGCTTCAAATCTACCAGCCACTCCTTGGAAACCCTATACAAGGTGTGTATTAATCAGAACCAACCTGATGGCACAACAACAACAGTGTGTATCTCCACACAGGGCAGTCCTTTCATTTCACCTGCCCAGTATGGGTTCTGTCTGTTCTCATATTCATGTGAGATCTTCTTGGTCACTTCCTGGTGTGTTTTTTTTCATAGTGACATAAAGAACATAGATATGCTTTGCCAAGTACCAGGAGACCAAAGTCAAGATTTGCGTTAGAGTGAACAATAAAGGGTCCTATTTTCCTCTATACAGTCAGTCTAGAAAGTTAGCTATACTGTTCCTTGACTGCACCTAACTAATGTGATTGTCTTATAGACTTATTTGTTTTTGTTGATTTGTTTTTCTGGTGACTCCTAGTTGCATACTTTTGACATTTAGGGAAAGGTTTTGTTTATTTTTGTTGTTGTTTTTAATTATTTGAGTGTTACTATATTCTGTAGATTACTTTATTTTTACACTGGCAGATTTTATGAGAAATAATAAAGAATCATAGAAAAGATTTCATGGGTCAGTGACTGTACAAAAAGGAGCTAATACAATGAGAAATTTGGGGTGGTATATAACAGTAATGTGTGTTTTAGGCAATCTACATGTAAGAATGAAATAGTATAATCCTGGTGGCATAGTGGTTAAGCATTTGACTACTTACCAAAATTCAGTGGTTCGAGCCCATCAGTAGCTCCTCCGGAGAAAGATATGGTAATCTATGTGAAAAACCTATGGGACAGTTCTACTAAGTTTTTTTTAGATTACTATGAGTGAGAATCAATTTGAGGGTCTAAAGCAACAACAATGAAATAATAATAATTAATATGCAATAGTATTTACATTTCTGTATGCAATACTATTTTTACTTATTCTTTTCCAAAAGCTACTAATACAGATTTTATTAAAATTACAGTTTTCTGTTTTTCATTTTAAAACTAGCATGCCATCATAATAGAAAAATTTGAAAATTATAAAATATTGAAAATAAATATTCAGAATACATGCACCAAAAAGCAGTCATATTTAGCATTTGGTGTGATATTTCTCATATATTTTTTCTTATGGATGTTAATTATTACATTTAGCTCAGGCTATGTACACTTACAAAGGCGCTTGGGTAGCGTAGTGGTTACGAATGGGGCTATGAACCGCAAGGTCAGCAGTTCGAAACTACCAGCTGTTCCGCGGCAGAAAGATGAGGCTTTCTGCTCCCATAAAGATTTACAGCCTTGGAAACCCTGTACAGGGTTGCTATGAGTCGGAACTGACTCCACGGCATATAACAACAACAACAACAATGTACGCTTACATTATTGTACAAAGTTTTATCAGATTTAGGATTGCTACTTAATTTATGGGTACATAAAATACAATTACCTGATCAAAATTAAAGATGTTTTAAGGTTTTAATTGTGAATAACATTTTGAGTTTCATATTATTGTTTTTATATCAGCAGTGTTGAAATTGCTGGGTATATCACTGCATCCTTACCACTGTTTGTTCATCAAATAGTTATTGTACAGATCTATGGATCTCGACCTTGAAGAAACAACAGAAAGTCATTTCACACACTGTAATAGTTTTCTTGCTGACGGGCAGTTTGGGGTACAGACATTAATACTATAATTACACTATAATATGTTTAATCTCAGCAGTGGGTTGTTGTTGTTATCAAGTGCCATTGAGTTGGTTCTGATTCATAGCAACCTGTATAGGTTTACTGAGGAGCATTTGGTGGGTTTGAACTGCTCACTTTGCAGTTAAACTGACCTTATGGTCCAATGCTTATCCTATGTTGTTGTTGTTAAGTGCCATCGAATCGGTTACGACCCATAGCGACCCTGTACAGGATTTCCAAGGGTGTAAATCTTTACGGGAGTAGAAAGCCTCATCTTTCTCCTGCAGGGCAGCTGGTAGTTTCGAACTGCTGACCTTAAGGTTCGCAGCCCGATTCGTAACCACTATGCTACCAGAGCTCCTTATGCTTATCCTATAGTGCCACACAAGTGGTAGGTGCATAGATTCAAGTAATATTGTTTTCTGTAGTTTGGGGTGCATTTAAAATATTTTCAAAAAAAGTAACTTTTTTGTTTAAAAAAATCCATCTATGATAAATACAACTAGAAAAGTATTCAGAGGAGGAATTTGACCTCATCTTAAGTGTCAGGAGAGGTTTCTTGGAGGAAATACTTATTCTTGGAGGAAGTATGTATTCATGCACACACCCTAAAGGAGATGTGCAAGGAGGCATCTTTACACAGGTGACCATACTTGAGACAGATGAAGGTTGGAACTGTATAATATTGGTAGGAGAGCCTAGTGACTCAGGCTATGCTAATTGCAGGTATTGGTTGGGGAGTAATATATAACAAGGCCAGGCAGATAGAATGGGGCCATACAGTGGCAGGATGTATGTAGAATTCAATGGTGGTGAACAGTCACTGTAAATTCCCAGATCTGATGGGATATAAAGAGGTAATAAGGAGCTGAACTGGTTGCAGGTAGTGAAAATAGAGATAAAGAGTGAGGGATACTGTGAAGGCAGCTTCTGTAGGAGTTGGTAAATTCATTAGGTGGAATATAAGCGCAAGTTATTTTAAGAAACTTATACTGATGAAGATCAAAGAGCACAGCCTTTGGTATGGATTGCATCTCAGTGTAAAGAAAAAAATCCTCACCACTGGACCAATAAACAACATTCTTATCAATGGAGAAAAGATTGAAGTTGTCAAAGACTACATTTTTCTTGGATATATGGAGCTCCAAGGACATTCTTGTTTTTGAATATTTTTTATTTTTTGCATGTGTATTTCTCTATTCACCTGTTTGCAAGTACACAATTTCTATTGATTACTGAATGCTAGATTTTATCATTCAGAAGTGTCCTACTGTTTTGACTGCATGATCAAATTTGCATGTCCCATTTAGCTGTTGTGGAGAGATGCCTGTTGCCATGGCAAGGATTAAGATGCCCCACATCAAAATCCAGTCATGTGATGAGGATGTGATGGGATATGGCTTTTGAAAAGCCATATGCAATTATTTGTTTTCAAAGGTACAACTGATTCTTCGTGAAAGAGTGGATTAGTATGTGGTTATCTTTTCAATGAATCATCAAATGAGAAGTCTGTTATCATATCATTTCCCATTTTTGAATAAACATCACTGTACTCACCTACCTCTCCTGTTGGCAAAGAATACAATTTCATAATGCATAATTCCCTTCTCATTTTATATTATATACAGTAATAGTATTCCCAGCACATTTTTTCTTATTTTGTAGATTGTTTCAAACCACAATTCATGGGTGTGCTGTTGTGTTTCCCCAAAAGTCATAAGCATGCATGTTAGGGCACATTCTTCATATCAGAGCTTTGCTTTTTTAAACAACAACAACAAAAAAAAAACCTGTCAATTTAAGGAGCCTGTGTGGCACAGTGAGTTAATTTAACTGAAAAACTGAAAGGTGTTTGGTTTGAATCCAACAGTTAATTCCAGGGAGAGAGACATGAAGATTTACAGCCTTGGAAACCCTACGGAGAAGTTCTACTCAATCCTATAGAATCACTATGAATCAGAATTAACTAGATGGCAGTGAATTTAAGAAAAGAAAAATTAATTAAAAAGCCTTTAGTAAAGTTTCTTAAAGCCAGAAGTTTGCAAAAACCTTGTACTGCCATTCTGAAAGATAATATCAGTTTAAGCTACTAACAGATCATAAAATGATCTGTGTTATGCAACTTACTAAAGGCCACACTATTGCATTTTCTTCAGCTTCTATGACGAATATACTCCTGGTTTGATACAACACACAGCAATCTCAAACCAAAAATTCCAAACTCACTGTCATCAATTCTGTTCTAACTCACAGCGATCTATAGAGGCCCCAGTAGATGACTCCACAGAGTTTCCAAGCCTTTTCGCCATACAGAGAGCCTCATCTTTCTCTCTTCGAGAGGTTGGTGGGCTTGAGGCACTGGCCTTGTGGTTAACAGCCCAACACTTAAACCAGAGCTCCTTCCAGAACAATCTAGGGAACATAGAATTAAACACATTTCTTCTATAAAATGTCCTCTTACTGCTGAGAAAAGAAACAGAAAGAAAAAAAGGTAGAAGCTATGTCGTGGCACAGTGTGAGGCTTATGATAACTGTGTTTGCCTTTCAGATCCCCAGCTCAAGGGCATAGTGACCAGGTTATATTGCAGGCAAGGCTACTACTTGCAAATGCACCCCGATGGAGCTCTCGATGGAACCAAGGATGACAGCACTAATTCTAGTAAGTGACAACCTCAGGCCATCAGTTTCACAGTCTGTTGACCTTTTAGTGCTACTTAAATGCCTTTTTAAAATGCATCTTCACATGTTTGCTTATGTTGATTAATTTTGACAAATGTTGCACACTAGAGTATCATTTGCAATTTCACTTAAAATTCTTGCATGAAAATATTAATAGAGCAACAAAAGCAACCTGCTGTTGTGAGATAATTTTAAGATTTTGTTGTCGTACCTAGCAGGCTATTGAATCTCATTGTTATAAAAGTGAAGCAAGTTGCTCTAGTAACATTTATTATGTATGTACCTTGGGTGAATTCGTTTCTCAGGCTCGTAGTTTCTTACTGATACCTGTGGAGTTTTGAGGGCAACAGTATTGTTGTCATGTCATTGAGTTGGTTCGGATTTATAGCGACCCTATTCAGGGTTTCTGAGGAGTGGCTGGTGATTTGAACTGCTGACCTTGCAGTTAGCAGTCCAGTGCTTATCCTACAGCACCACACTAGAACTCCATGAATATTAATTGCTTCAAATAATAGAAATACAACTTTCTAAAATTCTGAGCATTCAAAAAAAGATAGTATGTTTCTTCTGTAGAGAGGATCTGAAGGCTGTACTTACGCATATAATACCAATGTATTTAGATGCATTGTACGAAATGTTTATGCTTTATAGAAATGGGTCTGTGATGTTATTATTGTTATTATTATTAAAAAGACACACATCTTTTATTCTTTATCGATGAATCTTCTTTGTATTTTGTTCTGATGAACCTCAATTTTGTGGTTTTTGGTCTAATTTTCTGTTTATACTGGCATCAGGCTCCTTTGTAATTTAATATGTTTCTTAATAAACAGACACTTTTTACTGCCAGGACGAATTACTGAGATGCTAAAACAAACTATTAGAAACATTTAATCACAGGAAATATTAGTAGTGATTTTGGAGCAGATAAGAAGCATTTCATCCAGTTATGATTATTCTTTGCATATAGTACAACATTATTCCATAAAAAGAATGGAGGACTTGAATATACTTAATCAAGATATAACTTAACCTGTTTTCAATTCTAATCAAACTGTCAGTAATGCTGACCTGTAAGCAGTTTATGATCTTAAGCATACTACTTTTGTTAGTCATTGTGTTTGTTTTTTAGAGGTTGGCATCTGTTTCATTAACAAAACAAAACAAACAAAAACCCTTCAATTGTAAATTTATCTATATTGTTCCTTTTTTCAATTTCTATCTTCTTTTATCTCCTGTGTCTCTTACATATTCTTTTTGTACTTTAGAACTTTTTGTATTTGTTCATCTAGTTTGGTTTCACATTCTCATTTGATTTAAGAAGAAAAAATGAAACTGTTGAGGCATGGCAAAGTGGAGGCCTTTTTATTCACAAGACCGATTCAAACATTTGTTTGCTAGTTGGGATTTTATTATTAGGTCAAACCTTTAAAAGATATTAATCCTTGACCTTTCTGGACCTAAATGAATGACAACTTCTTATAGTTGAAGCAATTGCTTAGATAGTTGCTAATTTTCTTTTCCCCAGATCTTTACTTCCTTACCCACTCTTTGACAAAAAACACTCTCTTCTTGTGTCTAACAATCATGGCATCATGCGGTTGGGATATTCATAATCCTGAGATTGTCAATGCTCTCTGGTTTCCATTGGCTAGAGTCTAATAGAGCATGAAACTATTTTTCCATAGCTCTGATCAGTCTATGAGCAATAACACTCTGAAAATTTTATCAGAATAGAGACTGATGTCTTTTGTATTGCACTGAGAATTCTTTAGAAAGGAATTAATCTGTGACTGTATGCAAATATTGCTCAATTGGATTCCTTGGGGAGAAAATAGAGTAATTTACTCAAAAGATTTTATAAGATTTTTTGTATCTTTAGTAATTTTTAATGGGAATCTGTGTCAGGTTGAAAAGTGTCAAATAGATACTGTCTTTTGAAATATGTTACTTCTGAATTGAATATGAAACTTAATGATTTCTGAATTTTGATGTGCAGATGTTGGTATTACATACATATGCATACACATATATTAGGTCTAGTTATCTGAATAATATTAAATACTAGAACTGGAAAATTGAGATACTGAGAGATTGTTGACCCTCTGTTCTCTAAATATGTGGGACTTCTTTTCTCTTAGCACACAACCTTAGCAAAAAAAAAAAAAAGCAAGAATTCCTGGGTCCTCAAAATCCACTCTGATTCCCTAAATGCTAGTGAGGAACAATTTCTTAGAGAAGCTTCAACAGGATCTCCAAAGCAAATGTAAATTAGAACCAGATTGCAGTGCTGACATTGTTGTTGTGAAGTGCCATTGTTTTGACTCATAGCGACCTTGTACAGGGTGTCTAAGGAGCAGCTGGTGGACTTGGAATACTAGCCTTTAGGTTAGAAGTCCAGTGCATATCCTACAGTACCACACCAGGGACACAACTTTCTAGGCAAACATCTGGCCCACAACTACTTTCCTTACATGTTGTATTACATTTTTAATTAAAAAAGGATAGACTTTAGTAGATTTTTTTCTCCAGTCATTACAGTGTTCTTATGAATCTTAGACATGGGTTTTTAAAAATGGGAACATGCCTTAGAAAAGCTGACAGCCAGATTCTCTTTAGAGTACAGCTATCCTGGTCTGGAGAGAGGAGTAATATAATCATTCATAGCTGTGTTGTAGTTTTTGATAATTCCATGTACATAAAACATGGACTGTTTTGTGTCGTAGAGTCAATTCTGACTCCCAGCGTCATGAGGCTGTAAATCTTTACTGAACAGAAAGCCTCATCTTTCTCCCAGATAGTGGCTGGTGGATTCAAGCTGCTGACCTTGTGTTTTGCAGCCCAATGCCTAACCCACTATGGCACCGGTACACCATGGTGTGTGAAAGTAAGGCATTTAGCACAAAACTGTCAACCTGTTATTACTAAGTGTGCTGTTATTTAAAGTTGAAAAAGCCATAACCACTGTCATAAGCTGCCTTTGTCAGGAATTTCCTAGAAAAGTAAGAGGAAGTGTAACGATGCTGATGGGCAGGAACCTGGAGCCCATGTCCTCCTTAGTTTCCACCCTGAGATCTAGACATCTTTGGGAAAGGAGCATAGGAATGAAAATAGCAGATGGTGGAAAATTGATCCCAGCAGAAAGATGCTGTGTCCATTTGATTGCTCACCTGTGATCCGAAAAGGTCTTTTTCCAAAAGGAAGTGGGTACCCAGATTACTTCATCAGCATATTCATTTCCCAGGTTTATTCCTTTAAAGTTTTACAGCATTCCTTCATCTGCTAAATGTCAGGATTATAGGATAAGCACTGGACTGCCACCTACAAGGCCAGCTGTTCAAACTTACCAACTGGTCCTCAGAAACTCGAAACAGCGTTACTATGAGTTGGAACTGACTCAATAGCACGTAAGAACAACAATAAAAATAATATCTTATAAGAAGCCTTGCTGGTGTTGAAGCGCTTGACTGATAACCAAAAGGCTAATGGTTGTGCCGCAGGAGACCCAACAGATGTTGTGTGAGGCAAAGACTTGACACTTTACTCCCACAAATATTCCAGCCTTGCATCCTTGTCATGGAGGGTTGTTGTGATTTGCAATCACCTCAAAAGCACACACAGCAATATGGTATCTTACTAATGAGTGTTCCCCACATCCAAGTTTCCTTTTGGGAAAACTTTCCTTGTTTTGATTTTTATCCCTTGAGCTCTTAAACTTCATTGTCTCTATTATCAGACATAATAGATATTTAAAGTATAGTAACCGAAAAAACAAAGCAGGTGCTCTCAAGTTGATTCCAACTTATTGCACTATATAAGTTGTTGTTGTTGTCAGGTGCCATCGAGTCGGAACCGACTCATAGC